GGACACGCTGGGGGGCACTGGGAGGGACGGGGGAGACACTGGGCTCAGCTGGGGGGCACTGGGAGGGAGGGGAGAGGGCTTGGAGGACATTGGGAGGGATTGGGATGGCAGTGGGAGGGAGTGGGAATAGGGTGGGGTAGAAGGGTCTGGGCTGGGGGGGCACTGGGGAGAGAGTTGGGAGATGTGGGAGTGAAGTGAGAACGACTGGGAATGGACTGAGAGGGTCTGGGAGTGGATCGAGAGTGTCTGGGAGTGGAGCGAGAGGGTCTGGGAGTGACTGGGAAGGACTGGGAGTGACTGGGAAGGACTGGGAGTGACTGGTGTGGCCTGGGAAGGAAGCGCTCGGGCCTGGGAGGCTGAGTGGTGGTGAGGGAAGTGTTTGCTTTGGGTCTGCCTGGCAACTGGAGCGTCATCAGAGAGACGCGCTGCGATTGGCTGAGGGGCGGGAGCTCGGGGGCATCGACGCGTGGAGACGCGGGGGGGCACTGGGAGAGACTGGGATGGACTGGGATGGACTCTGAAAAACTGGAATGGACTGGGAGAGACTCGGGGGCATTGGAAGGACTGGGAGAGACTGGGATGAACTGGGAGGGGGCAAAAGGCCACGGGACGGGCACAGGGAGGTCTGAGGGGTCTGGGGTGATTCCCGGGGAGGGTTTGAGGGGCTCCAGGGTCATTCCCGGGGCAGGGGCCGAGGGGACCCACTCTGCCCCACGCTCACCTCTCCTCTCCACGCTGAACGGGGTGATCACCTCGTAGTTGTGCCGGCAGAACCTGTCCACATCAGATCGTCTGAGCTCCATCAGTTCTGGGTCGCTGTTCACGTGCCTGGCCCAGCTCTCCCCAAACGGGGTGTCCCCCACAAACACCCCCACATCACTGTCGAAGTGTAGTTGCTGCTCCCGGTTGTAGATACCCCTCGCCACGAACCTCACCCGCTCGGTGCCGTTGATGAAGTGACACTCAGCCTTTGCCATCAGCTGGAACACCCCTGTATGTGCAGGACACGGGTCAGGGGGTGCCCCGTCCCCCCCATCATCCCCCAGCCCCCCACAGCAGGTTGGGAGCTCAGGGGGCCACCCCGGACCCCCCTTTCCCACCCCCCTCTGCCCCACGGACGCCACAGCACCGGCTCTTGGCTGGGGGGAACCCCCCC